TCTCGCTTTCAAAAAAAAGGTTCTGTAGTATGAGTTCTGGAGGCGTTTTCGTCGCTGGAGCACGAGTCTCTGTCGCCAGTGCTGGAGTACGCACGCCGCCTGTCGAGGGCCGGGGGTCACGTGTATCGTTCTGAATTGATGAATATACCCGCACGAACCTTTTTTTGGCCATCTGCTTTCGCGCACCGCCCATTTTCCTACGCCACATCCCCTCCCTCCCCTTCTCTTGCCACGTAACACACACATAGCGACCGGACGATAGATGGTCAAACGAGACGAGACGAGGGGCGTGGATCCTGGGCTGCCGTTTGGTCAGTGGGTGTGCAGAGCTTGCGGTGTTTGGTTTCTTCGTCTATTTCTGCAGATTGTTCGGGCGTCCTTCACCGTGCTGCTGCCACTCGTTGTGGGTCTGTGTTTACGTTGTTCTTAGTAACCGGGTGTGTAAAAGAACCTATTTTCAGGATCTGGTTGCTCACACATCTCTCGAGGCTCCTCTCTGTCCAACGCCACGTTTAGGCATACCCCTAGTCGTGCACGGAGTCACAAGCTCCCTACTGGTAGAGTCCGTCCGGTTAAATTTTGCCACCATCTCCTGAAATCACCTTGGGAATTGTTTTGAGTGACTGACGTACCCCCTAGTGACATACTTTATATCGTAAGAAAGCTCTGTTTCCGGCGGATCGTTTGGATGGAGCAGATTTTTTTATTTTTTTTGTTGGCGAGAAAATCACGATTCCGTGGAGATTTTGGACGATTTTGGTTAGTTTTATTTGGTCGAGTGTGAGGTCATATTTTTTTTTTAGACCGTTTTTGAACGTATCACGCCCAGGGGCTCACGGCGACACAACTCAGCTTTATTTTCGCTAATAAACAACGGAGATATGGGCAGAAAACCGCATTTCAGGTGCCCTCAGAGTTTAGTTTCTTGGGGAGTATTGAACCATACGATGTCCAAAAACTCAACGGATTCGGGCGAATTGGACCTGCACCTAGGGACGTTTTTTTTTTTTTCCAAAAAAAATTCGTTTGAGCGAAATATGGCCGCTCAAAGTTTGGTGCTGCTGACACACACACAAAGCCACACACGAAACACCATAACCCACACCATACAGCAGCACCGGGCACCCCAAGAGGGCCCACACAAGTCTACACATGTCCGGGCGTCGTGGTGCCGGGCGTCCTCCAAAAAGGAAGCGCGCCTTCAACAAAGCTGGTCAGTTTACAGCTGCTGCTGCACCACCAGAACCACTCGCTGCGGACACTCCACCAGAACATGGCAACGACACATGTTATGAAGGAGACGAGGAGGGCCACAGCAGCAGCAGCCAACACAGCAGTGACAGCGACCTCGGCAGCTGCAGCTCGGGCAGCTCGGGACACGTCAAGTATGACGGCAAGAGCAAACGACACAGACGGCGACTCCGACAAATGCGGCGGGATCAGGAGGACAGGCGGGGTGTGCAAACGCTTCTCCAGATGTGGGCACCACCTTCGTCCTGCAGCACTCCAGCCCCCGAGCCAGCCCCCGAGGACACGCATAACGCAGGAGACACCGAGGATGGGGCGGTGGTCTTCGAGATAGAGGGGGGTGGAGACGACGGTGACGAGCTCAGAAATTGGTTTGGAGAAGAGGACATGCGAGACGTTGACGTGTGCCTGGAGGGACGCAGCTCGGGTTCTGAGGGCCTCATCTTTGGGGGATACTTGGGTGACTCGGGCGACTGCTCGTCCGGGGAAGATGACGCGGAGTCGAACGATGCCGAGGAGATGCCGCAGCAGCCATTAGAGGGATTCCCGCAGCAGCCATCAGAGGGAGCACAGCAGGACCCGCTGGAAGGATGCCCTCCTGGGCCGGCAGATCAAAATTCCGCCGCAAGGAGATCTCCCCGCATCTTGCCCACCGCAACATGCGCGCCACGGCAACGGACAGCGCGGTCAAAGGGTCGGCCCGCTGGACCGGGACGCGGCAAGAACAAGGAGCAAGCTTTCCCCGGAAAGCGCAGCAAAGGCAGCAGGAAGCGGGAGAGGGAGTCAAAAAAATCCGCGAAACGGCGTGCGGAGAGGGAAGCGGCGCGTGTGCAGGCTCAAGAAGAGCGACTCAAGATCTTCGCGAAAGGCAAAGATATTCTCTTTCCGGTGAGTACACACTGCTGTAGCGCTGTACAGCAGTCTTTCAGCAGTAAATGCCCAACTCTTTGTGTCTTGCACTTATCTTTTCGTTTGTTGACGCGATTCCGCTGCACAGCCGTCACACGCTGTACAGCAGGATGTGCCCAAAATCTTTGTGTGTTGCACTTGTCTCCGTTTGATGTAATCCCGCTGCATAGCATTCAGTACAGCAGTGAATGCCCAACGCTTTGCGTCTTGCACTTGTCTATTTTCCGTCCGTTGGTTGTTTTTGCTTTTCCCAAGCTTTACCTGTTACGCCCTCCTGTGTGTGTGTTTTCTTTGTTAGCATCGTCCGCGCTAACCGGCAGGTGTGTGTGTGTGTGTGTGACAGCTGTTGCTGGCGCGTTTGCTGGCGCGTGTTTGCGTGTGACAGCAGCTGCCGGTGTGCCCCGTAACCTATGAAGCGGATGTCTTACGCTCACCTGTGTATCTTGATACTTGGACGTATAGTATACCTACATTTTAGAAGGGATTTTTGCTGTGGTGCGTCGAGTATCTGTAGATATGCATGCATAGATTGGCGCCTAATTTCGAGTCCCCTCGTCTTCCGTTTGATTAGGCGGTACGGTTCTTACGGCTGGATCACATCGTGGAGAAGCCGGACGAGGCGCTAGCAACCGACAGCAAGAAGGGCCACGCTCTTCGACAGGCGTGCGCCATCTTGGCCTTCTTGTCTCTTGAGTGAGTTTTTACGTGTACGGCAGTAGCGCAAAAGTTGAACATCAGCATTCCCCAGGTAAAATATTCCACCACCAAAAATGCGCCAACCACCCGTAACTTATTTACCACAACGTTCACGTTTGGCGGAGCAGGCTGGAAAACGGACGGCACCCCATCAAGCACAGCGAGATTGCGGCGCTTCCAGCAGGCGTGACCGCTCGAGTGGTTCGGTCGTGGGTGCGTGACTTTCTCGCCAACACGAGGTTCAAGATTCGCTAGGCTTCCCGTCACGTTGAGCACCGTCTCTTTGTCACTGTGCCGGAAGTGGGCTCGTGTGTCCTGGCTGTACATCGACGCCTATAGCAACGGGCTTCAGGGCTACTTGCAAACCCGGGACCTGAAGAGGTGGACGAGCCACCGCGGGACCACCGACACGGCCGACAACGTGTTGCTGGCTCGAGACCAAGCGACAACTCCTGAGCAGCGCAAGGCCAACGAGTCANGAGTCGGCCGCCCTTGCCGCGGCGCAGGAGGCCAGGAAGGTTTCTAACGAGGCTGCCGACAAAATGCTGAAGAGGTTCATGGCGACAAAACTCGCTGCCACCTGAGTTTGAGCGCAGCAGCACCAGCCGCCGCGATATTGTTGGCCGATGATCGAACACCCAGGCAAAGATGACCGCCTACAGGGTGGCCTTGTGTGTGTGCGTGTTTGTTATCGACCTAATGTATCTAGATATCTCACGTTAGGGTGCTATCATTATGACAAGTATAGCTTGGGGAGCTGCTGTCACGATCCATATAAAATACTATCACATTCAAAAACTGCTAGTATGTCGGCGTTTCGAGGCAGTTTCGGGGTGAATGGGGGTCCCGTGGGGGTTATTGGGGGCCCCGTGAGTGCATGTGGGGGCCCCGTGGGATCATGGGGGGGTCAAATTCGCCAAAAAGTGGCCAAATACACGGATTTTTTTGTTGACCCCGGATTTCGATGCTTCTCGACCGTGCGGTTCTTGCCAACTTTGTTTCATGATTCAATTCCTAAAAATGAGCGAGAAAAAGTGGGGGTCACGTTGTGGCAAAATTTAACCGGACAGACTATAGCACAACGGACCAGGTTCCTCCGGCGGGAAGGTTGTTTTCTTTCTTTGTACGGTAATAAAGTATGAGAAAAGAGCCAGCGTCAACATCCCTTGTCTGGGTACCCTTGAATAATTTTTTTTGTTGGGTCCGAAACTGTCCGAGTAGTATCTGATTTTGTATTATTAGGTCTGGTCGAGACGACAGCCCCAAGGGAGGGTGTTCGTGAATTGTGGCTGTAGTATCGAATTTATGACGTGTATTGCGGTGTAGTAGGTGATACTTGGTATTGTAACGAACCGTAACACAAAGGTCAGTAGATTGCAGCGAGTAGATTGCAGCGAATAGATTTATTGCTGAGGAAAAGCTGTAGCAAGAAGCCATGGGGAGCGCAGCCCACCGTGTTCACTCCACCTTGCCGACCTGTCTCTCCGGGCAAGTTCTCATTAATACACCACATATTTCCCCAGAAGTCACGAGTTTCCAACAGCTCGCGTCACTCATGCTCAGCTGCCACTATCTCCCCTGCGGGCCACTACCTCAGTACTCCAGTATCTGAGTACGCGAGCGCGCGAGTATCGGAGCCTGGCGGAGCCTGGAGCCCACCACCACTCTGTGCGGCGAGACTGTCTACTTTCTGCTGAATAGTGACGTCACCAACACACCCTTTGGTGGAAGGTAGTACGTACTCTGACGTTGAGTAGTACGTACTCTGAGTTGAGAATGGCGGGCTGTACTATGGCCTGAGTAGAGTATGGGCAGCCATACTAAACGCAACAGTATGTTTAGTAGAGTATGAGAAGCTATTCTAAAGTGATAGTATAGTACAGTATAGGAAGCCATTCTAAACTCAAAGAGTATTTTTAGTAGAGAATGAAAAGCCGTACTAAACCGCAAGAGTACGTTGAGTAGAGTATGAAGAGCCGTACTATAAAGTGAGTATGAGTAGAGTATGAAAAGCCATACTATACTCAAAAAGATGTTTAGTAGAGTATTGAAGAGCCGTACTTACAAAAGTTTTAGTAGAGTATGATGCAATACAGCAGTTATAGTGCAGTCAGAAACACGGCGGCCTGATCTTTTATTTTTTTCATACACATCGATTCCATGGGCTGCCGTTGTACTACAGCAGCCGAGACAGGAGTAATGAATTCTAGCGTCAGTCACAGCGGAGGCCAATCGTTCACAAGTAGTTGACAGACACAGCCTGGTTGATCCTGTCACTTATGTCCCTACATGGTAGATTATGCGTTCATCACCCCAAACCATGCTATGATGTTCCACCTGTAGCTATTTGGCTACCCTGGCAGGGTGGCAAAAAAAACACCCTGCCAGGGTACCCCACCTTGTGAACGGCAGAAGGGTGCACCGCTGGCAGGGTCTTTTATAGACGCCCTGGACAGGGTCCACCCTGCCAGGGCGGCCCGAATCGCACCCTGTAAGCAAACTGCGGCAGCAATTTTGTGTGGTGCGCTGTTTTGCACTCTGTTTTTTCGTGGTTGTCGATGTCTTGTGAGCATACGGCTCCGGGTTAATCGCGAACGAGCCCGGTTTTCATGCCATGTCGTCGCTCAATCGTACAGCACCAACGCCGACACGATTATCATGCGCATCCTCTGCACAGATCGACTCGGCATCCTGCCAACAGTCATTTCTGCGTCAGGGTCGAATCCACGTAAAGAAGAATGTTAAGAGTGTGCCCGACGCTCGTCACAGAACCCGAAAAACATCACGCAAATGCAATGTTGGGGCTCACAACCCCAACTTGGTTGCCACACTTTCAACGGAATGTGAATGTGCACGACATGTCCATGACGTGCACCAAGCAAATCAGGACGCATGGTGAACCACACGCTCGACGAAGATCCAAGAAAACACGGAGAAAACAAATAGTTCCAACCACAAAAAACAAGCACTCCATGCCTCTAGGTCCACGCAACTAGTCTGACATGCACACGCTCCGGCCGACACTTTATTGTGCGTACAGACTAATAACTCCATGAGTTCAATCAAGCTCGACCGAACCTACTTGGCCCCTTGTCCGCGAAGCACCTCAATACTTGAGGTGTCCCTACCCCCGGCGACACGGAGGAACATTTCTGCGTTGTGTGTACCACGTCCAGGGTACGCCGGCGCGTATCGACCTCCAAGCGCTTCACGCGTTGCTCGAAAAGGAACAGTGACGAAATAAACTTACTGCCGAACGCGACAAAAAACCTGCTCCCCACAGCAAGCGCTACGCCCGAGAACATTTGCCAGCAATTCCGCGACCCATGCAGATGCTGAGCTTGTGAAGGACCAATCAACAACAACGATCAGTTCATCTCGTCGAGATATGCGCCGAGATCGGAGTCTCCACGTGGACGTCTTGGCCGGGGTCTCCTCCACGACGAGGCTGTCGTTGCCGCCGGCGTGTGGGGACAGGAAGCGCATGATCTTGGGGTTCCCGTAGTCCAACTTGGGGATGGTCAGGATTCCGGAGGCGTGGCGACGCGGGCCCGTCATGAACTGGAGCATGGAGTACCAGAATCTGGTCCGAAAATCACGTGGGGAAAGGGAAGGCATAGGTACGCAACATGAGGTAAAGTTGATGCATGGCTCAAGGATCGACGAAAACTTGTTTCGGCAGATGGAGTGACAGGCACAAGCGCATGACGAGCATAACAACACAAGAATGCCTTGTATTCCCTGACGACAACAGCACAAGAGTAGGAGGTGGGGGGATATAAAAACAAAGAGAAAACTACCCCCGGAGCGAATCTATGGGGGAATTCCGAACCTTGCAGAAATACAGCATTTGCACCAAACAATACTTCGGAACACGACAAACACGTGACGAAAAAACAGGGCGTGGAGAAGCTTGCTAGGTGACGACATCGAAAGTTCACAAACTTCGGTGAAGATGACACGGCAGTCGGTATTCAAGACTTTTGGCAACACTGTC